CCCCCCCGGGTGCACCTGGACAAGCCACCCAGGCTCTGACCCTCCCCCAGCCCAGCCTGGCCAGGGCCCTACTCCCTCCCTCACTTCGGGGGGCCTCGATCTGCCCCTCCCCCCCGCCTCCCTACTGACCTGCTGGAGGGTGTTGGGGCCAGGTAGGTCCTGGATTGCCCTTTGCTTGAAAAAGTGATCTTCACCTAAAAAGATTGGAGACCACTGAGCTAGGCAACTAGTCTTTCAGGGGAGAGCTGGCTGCAAAGAGGTGTTGGGGTTGGAGAGGATAAGGTGGGAGCCTCACTGGGGCTGATCTGTCAACTACTTTTGGCTAGTAAAGGTGTTTACTTTAATATGAAATAGAATGATTTCTTCTTCCTTAAAACAAGCAGAGAAATAAAACCATTTTAAGGGGGCGTTGGATCTCCCTGCTTGGCATCTCATTGGATTTTAATGTTGAAGAATGCTTATCTTGAATTTTGCTATATGTTGTGCAGAGTCACAGGCATGACTAAATATGTGCTTGCTACCTTTCATCTTACAGGATTTGGGAATTCATAATTTTTTTTCATATAGCATTACTGATATATTATCATCTCCGAGAAGGGAGCAGCAAGGCAGACATTGTGGTTGCACATTTCAAAAAGTATTTTGATCAAGAGCATTGGGGTAAAATCTTTTATTAAAGGACCATGGGTATTTTTTCAAGTCCAAACAAAACATTCAAAGACTTAATGTATTTACTTGAATCCAAGATAACTCTGAATTTAAGATTCACACCCCGCCCCCCCCCGGATAATTAGATTCTATATATGGAAAATGCTATACGTTTGCAAAATTTTTCCACACACAAACTAATTATTGGAAGATTGTCTTACATTTTTCCTCACTACCACTACAGCAGGGAAAGGATTGACGGGGGTCAGATGGTAGGAGCAGCAGTAGAGGAGCTGTGGTAAGGGGCAGGTGGTGGGAGAAGCATTTGGGGAGCAATGGATAAGGCGAACAGCTTGTTCTCTGCTGTCTGTCCCTGTCCCTCACGTGCACACACTTTCCGCCGCCTCTCCTCCCCCCCAAATCTTCAGGCTCTTCTGTCTCCCT